GGGTCACCAAGGACTGCCTGGGTTCCTCTCCCAGGGCAACGCAGAGGCAGACAAAATGGTTTCTACCCATATCCTATCAGCAGGCCTGGAGAAAGCTCAACAACTGCATAATCATACCCATGTAAATTGGTGGGGACTCCTTAAGAGGTTCCCTCAAGTCCCTATCAAGGACCTAAGAAAAATTGTACATACCTGTAAGTCTTGTCAACCCTTTTCACAGGTGCCATGCCTCCAACAACCAGGGGTAAACCCTAGGGGGGCTGAAGCCTAACTCTCTTTGGCAGACAGATGTCACACATTACGTTCCTTTTGGAAAACTCAAGTATGTTTTCGTGTCTATTGACACATTCTCACATGCCTGTTGGGCTACCGCCCATACAGGAGAAAAGTCTAGACATGCTCAGTCTCACTTCCTCCAGTGCTTCACTACACTGGGACTGCCTCAAAGGATAAAACTGACAATGGACCATGCTTCATAAGTAAAAGCTTACAGGACTTCTTCTCTTTATGGGGAATCCATCATAACATGGGGAATCCCTATAACCCCCAGGGCCAAGCTATCATAGAACGTAACCATCAGGACCTAAAGACCCAATTACAAAAACAAAAAGGGGGAGTAAGCCCCCACCAACAGCTAGGTTCGGCCTTATTTACCATTAATATTCTCAATTTTCAAAAAGGTCAATTGGAATCTCAATTCCAAAAACAGTGGGGGCATCAGGAGTGAAGACCAGAGGTATGGGTCAGATGGAAGGATCCAGTAACAGGACAATGGCGAGGACCCGACCCGCTCCTTACTATGGGCAGGGGGTTTGGATGTGTCTTTCCCAGGGATGAACCCCAACCCATCTGGGTACCTGCAAGGAATCTAAAGATGCAGGAATAACCCTGTCCCAAAGGTAACAGCCCTTTGAGGAGGATTTCTATGTCTTACAGGATGGAGTATTTTGGATGGAAGGCTTTCATTGCCGTGCTCACCGCTGCTGCCCTGACCATCATCATCTTTATCGTTACCATCATTATTCAAGATCTGATTAATAGATGGCTGAACAAAATCTGTCAATAATGGTACTCCTTCTCCTGCTAGCCATCTGCCAGATAAAAGCTGAGGACCTCTGGGCCTTGGTCCCTTCCCCGCCTATACTCTTGCCTTTCTCTTAAGTGAAGAGCTGGTAATTACCAAAGATATGACTCTGCTAGCTTGTGACCCTCGCTTTAGGTCACTTTGTCTCACCCCTTCCATATTACTGACCAATTAGATTATTGCTCTAAATTATACCCAGGCCCCGGTCCTATCGATGGACTCCTCCTTTTTTAGTAAGGTATGGGAGCATGTTTCTAATGCTTGTGCTAGCTTTTGTTCTCCTCAGGTGTCTCTGCTCGGTTATCAGAAGACAAAGACAGACTAAAAAAAGTCCCAGTCCAACCTACCCTGGCCACCCAGTCCCCCTCGGGCCCACCCTCAAGACAAATCCAGGCATGGATGCTTGAGCTAGCCTCAGGGCCCAGGTTGCTTTGCCCCCTTATGGGATAGACCCCCGTATATTAACCACAAAAGGGCATGGCTGGTCCCAATGATGGGAAAGACCCTCCCAGACTGATGAACCCAAGACAGGGGCCATGAGGGCAATCATGGTTACCCAAGGACAGGCAACTTCAACGCCTGAGGAGAGGCAACCTAAGACAGGGAGGCCATAGCAGTGGAGGGGGGTGGGGACGGTGCACCCTGTCCCCAGGGGCTATCCTTAAGGAACCTCACTTTTAAAACAAAGTAGGGGGAGAGATGCGGGGGCCTGAGGCCAGGGGCAAGACAGGATGGCACCTAGAGGAAACAGCCAGGGCATGATCAGACTTGTTTGGCACCTAGAGGAAACGGCCAGGGCATGACCAGACTTGTTTGGCGCCTAGAGGAAACGGCTGGAACATGGCCAGACTTGTTTTGAAGAATCGCTGATTGGCTCCTGTCATTTCCATGCATCCTGGCAGCGTGTGATCACCTCTCAAACACTATGCTTTGCTATGGAGAGGAGACTGCATGCTCAAGTCCACCTTTATTATGATTGGACGCTTGGTTGGGGAGGGGATTTTCCTTTGTGGTTTTTGCCTTCATAAGCCCTGTAACGCCTGCAATAAATGAGTTCCTGCTTGACTGGCTCCCTGTTGCGTCTCATTGTCTCCCAGGGAGGCTGCAGATAATGGGTGGACAGCTCATCTCCCTTTCCCTGGCTCCTGTGTCGGGGCAGGATCCCCGACAGACCTGGCCATCCCCCCATGTGGGAACTGAAAAGATAGGAATGAAACAAGTAACATCTGAGTGATAGAAAGATGGTCAGCTCTAACAACTGAGCTCTCAAAACCAGTCAATGAATGTTTAAGTTATTTACTGAATCAATTACATTAGTCAGATCACAAATTAAAATCCAGATCCATTATTAAAAACGAATGAAAACTAAAGCACAATGGGGACTTTGCCTTAAATTCCTCTTAAACCAAAACTGTATACATAATGTGTATATGCATTTGTGCATGGCATATACCACACATCAATGTATTTCAACATAATTTTTGAGGCATAATAAAATATATTCTGAGAGCTGGGGATGTGGCTCAGTTGTTAAGAGTAGTTGGCTAGCATAAACAAAGCCCTGGGCTCAATTCTCAGAACTGAGAAAAACCAGGTGTGACGCACACCTGTGGTCCCAGCATGTGTAAGGTGGAGGCAGGAGGATCAGAAATTCAAAGCCATCCTATTAAGAGTTCCAGACCAGCCTGGGCTACAAGAGACCCTGTCTCAAAATGAATAAATAAATAATATATTCTCTGACTTAGACTCTTAAAAAGGTCTGCTCTACTTTTTGAGGCAGAGTCTGGCAATGTATGCCAGCCTGATCTAGAACTCCCCATTTACCCCAGGCTGGCCTTGAATTCACAGGCTTGCCTCAGCTTCCCAGCTGTTGGAATTACAAATATGTACCACCATACTCTGCCTAAGGTTTATTTTTTGGCTGGGGCTATAGCTCAGTGGTAGAATGTTTGCCTAGTATGCATGATACTATATACTAGAAAGAATCTAGATGCAGATAACAGTTCTACATCTCAAAACATGGGAAGGACTTCAAAGTTTTTCATGCTTGTTTTGGATTTCCATTCATTTAACAAATATTTATCTGGGTCTAAGATAAAAATAGGCATTGTAGTAGGCAAATAAACAAAAATAAAATAAACCCTTGATTTAAAGGAGCTAGTAGAACCAGGAAGAAACTAAACCAACTCATCTTTTTTTTTTTTTTTTTAAACAACAAACTGAAGGCCATAGACCTATGGAATTCTGAACAGATGGCTCCCTCTGGCCACCTAGCTTATTTAGTCTATTGAACAGGCATCATTATGAGCAATATACATTGAATCAAGCCAACTAAAATACTATAAGAAGTAACAAACAGCCAGGTGTGGTGGTCTTTAGTCCCAGCACTGGGGAGGCAGAGGCAGGTGAATCTCTGTGAGTTCACAGCCAGCCTGGTCTACATAATGAATTCCAGGCCAGCTGGAGCTACAGGGAGACCCTGTCTCAGAAAGACCAACAACAACAAAAGTAACAAACTCAGACACCTTGCCTCTTTGTTACAAGCCAAACCTAACATATAAATTGGAAGTCCAAACTATGTTTCTCAAGCTAAAATAATGCAAGCAGGGTTAATCAATAATGGTAATATATATTGGTTGTATGTAATTAACGAATATCTAAATTACAGAGCTATAATGAATCTCACCCTATAGAGCTCATAGTTTTCTTCATTGTCTTCATTCTTTAAGTCCCAAAGATAAGAGGGCCAGGGGTATAGTTAAGTGATAAGAGTACTTGCCTAGTATGCACACAATGCTGAATCTGATCACCAGCATTACAATAAATAAATCTCAAAGTTAAGAGAAATGGTCAAAAAGCAAAATGAAGTACACTTCCTGCTAGGGATTTAGTTTCTTCATCCATACTCATCCACAGTTAATTTTTATAGCTAACAAACTTCAAGCCACAAAGAACAGAAGTAATAAGCAACAAAGGACAAACTACATAAAGACAGTATACTTAAAATGGAGGCTCATAGCCACCATGTTGGTGCTGGGATTTGAATCCTCATGGAGTAAATATCCCTTCAAACAAAAAGAGTAACTGAACTTTCCACGTTTTAAAATCTACTATTAGCTTTAAGAGTCAGGCACCTTGACCCATGCCAACTCAATCAGACAAGGGCCCAGAATGGAGTGAGGGAAATGGGTGGTGGGTTGGTCCTTGTCTGGGAACTACTGAAGACTGATTACTACTGGGTGAGGGAGAAATGGGCTTTACCAATGATCTCTAGATAGGTTGACTAGACTTCAGTGGATGAATTTGCACCTGGGATATGGACATCTGGGTACAAACACTTCACAGGATAGGACTTAACATATATGGCAGAATACATGAGGTCTGGTGGGGGTGGGCATGAATAGGGGAGGGGATCTGAATTTGATTAAGAATGGCTTATGAAATGTACAAAAGCTCAATAATTTTTTTTTAAAAAAGAATCAGGCATCTTTTTTGTTTATTGAAACTCTATTCTGAATAAGACATTTACCAACTTCAGGAATAAACATGATGTATCTATTTCAATACTGCCCTTTAAAAAGGATAAGGGGCTGGAGCGATGGCTCAGCAGTTAAGAGCACTGGGTGTTCTTGCAGAAGACCCAGATTCAAATCCCAGCATGAACATAATGGCTAACAACTGTCCATAACTCCAGTTCCAAGGGATCTAATGCCCTCTTCTGTCCTTCGAGGGCATTGCATGACACAGGTGCATTTACACACATGCAGGCATAATACTCATACACATAAAATAAGAATAAATAAATCAAATAAATAAAAAGATAAAATGACTTAGTTTTGAAAAAGAATGACAGGTATGCTAAAAGCCAGTTCAATAAAAGAAAAAAAATGGTGGAAAAACATAATACTTCTTTTACCACTGTCGACGGCTTCAACTTCACGATCAATTGCATCTCTGATCATTAGTGGATGGATGAAGAACTGAGCCCATCTGAAAAAGAAATTAGGTGTTTCTAGGTTTGTACAGTTTTTTCAATCAAAATCTTCTCTTTGCTTTTTTTTTTTTTTTTTTTTTTTTTTTTGGCCTTTTTGAGACAGGGTCTCCCTATAGCCATAGCTGGCCTGAAACTATGTAGACCAGGCTGCCCCAACCTCACAGAGCACTGCCTGCCACTGCCTCCTGAGTGCTGGGACTAAAGGTGTGCACCACCACACCTGGCTGGTTGTTATTCTTTATAGTATTTTACTTGGCTTGCTTCAATGTGCACTGCTGGGACTAAAGGTGCCCAAATATCTATTTTTTAATTAACCAGTTTTACCAACTGGGGATTTAGCTTACAACCTACAAGATCAAAATAATAGTCTGTGCTTCTATATTTTCAAGTCCATAAACCACTTCAACTTTTTCTTTGTGAAATAAAGCATTCATACAGAAAAACACTTAACACTTAAACACATAGACTAAAGCTTAACTACAAGGTGAACACCTGTTTGATCCTCTAATGTGAAACAACAACCCAGCAACCCCAACAATACTTTAGCTGTACCTGGTACCCATTCTTCCCTCAGTTACCCTGAATGTTTCAGTAATCACTCCCCTGCCTTTGTTCATAGTTTTAAAACCTAGATAACTATTTCTAGATCAGTGTTTTGTGATTTTTATCATAATCCAAAAGAGCCTTGTCAGAAATTTCCTATTCACCCTGCTCCCCCACCCCTTTGTTTGGCAGTGCTAATGATCAAACTCACTGCCTCCCACATGCTAGGAAAGCACTCTGTCAAAGAGCTACATCCCCACTTTAAAAATACAGCTATGTTGCTCAGGCTGACCTCAAACTCATGATCCTCCTGCCTCAGCCACTCAAGCAGCTGTGATTACAGGCATGCCCCAAACCCCCAGCTGCCCTATAATTATAGTCTTTATATGTATCTGTTTTCATTTAGAAAAGGAGTTACAAAGCTCACTCTATTCAACACAGGTTATGAATGACATAATTTTTAAGTTAAAAAGGTAAAGTCAGAATTTCAAAGGCTGATATTTAACTTTACCATACAATTCTATTGATGTTCTTATTGTGAGAGAGGAAGGGAGAAGGAGGGGGGAGAAAGAGGGAGGGAGGAAGGGAAAGAGGGAAGGAGAGAGAAAGGGGGAGGGAAAGAAAATACGAATATGCAGGTGCACTTATGCAGGTCAGAGGACAACTTTCAGCAGCTGTCCACCTTCTGGAGACACGGTCTCTCGTTTTCTGTGGTGCTGCATACTCCAGGATAGCTGTTTTAGGAGTATAGGAATTACAGGTGTGTGCAACCACATCCAGCTTTGTATGTTGATTCTAGGGATCAAACTTGGGTTGTTGGGCACTTTGACCCACTGAGCCATCTTGCCAAGCCGTGGTTTTCTTTTTTCTATTTATTTTTAATCTTTAACTTCCCAGACTGTGATTTTTATCTCTAGAAGTTCAATTAGGTGATTTACATTTCCTGTAGGGAAATAGGTTTTTATTTTTTGTTGTTGTTGTTGAGACAGGGTCTCATGCTGTTCAGACTGGCCTCAAACTTGCTACCATCAAGTTCTAGGATGACCTTGAGCTAACCTTATCTCCTGAGTGCTGGGATGGAAGGTGTGCTGGCACACCAGGTTTATATAGTGCTGGGGATCAATCTCAGGGGTTCATGCATGGTAGGCAAGCACTCTACCAACAAATTCAAATCCCTAACCCCCTGATTTTTTTAATGTAATTTATTTAGTTATATGAACTGTCATAAATCAAATTCTACTGATAAGTGTCTATTCTTATGCCAATACATTATTGGGATTATTGCAGCTCTAAATCTTGAAATTGAGAAATGAGTCCTCTAACTTTGTTCTTCTTAAATATAACTTTCCCTACTTTTACTTTTTTCTTTTCCAATATGAATTATAAGGTCGGTTCACTAATTTCTCTTTAAAAGGCAGTTGAAATCTTGATGTGATTAAGGTGAATCTGCAGTTCAATTTAGAAATTATTGCCATTCTTAAAAGCAGCAAGTCTTGTGTCCATTCTTAATAATACTGAGTCTTTTTATGCTCATGGGACAGCTTCTCATTTACATCTTTACTAATTTGCTTTAGTTTTTTATGGCTTTCCACTTTTATGTCTCTTGTTAAATTTATTATGAAGTATTTTATTCTTTTAGATGCTATTATTGAAGAAACTATTTTCTCTATTATTATTATTATTATTATTATTGGTCTTACTGAGGCAGGGTCTTCCTGTAGCCCCACCTGGCCTGAAACTCACTATGTAGACCAGGCTGGCCTCAAACTCACAGAGATCTGCCTGCCTCTGCCTCCTGAGTGCTGGGATTAAAGACAAGCACCACCATGCCCAGCCCTTCTCCTTTTTTAAAAAAGCATTTATGTGGATGTGTGTGTGTGTCTCTGTGTGTGTATGCCATGTGTGTGGGGGTATTCTTGTAGGCTAGAATAGGGCCTCAGATCCCTGGGAACTAGAGTGACAGGTGATTATAAACTGCCTGGTGTGAATTCTGGGAACCAAACTGGGGTCCTCTGGAAGAGCAGCAAGTGCTGAGTCATCTCTCCAGCCCTGAAGAAGCTATAACTTCATTTTTGGATTTTTCATTGCTAGTGTATAAAAAAACGGGGAGGGGGGTTGGAGAATGGTTCAGCACTTAATAGCACTAACTGCTCTAGCAGAGTTCAGATCCCAGTATCTACATCAGGTGGCTCCCAAACACCTGTAACTCCAGCTTCAAAGGACCTAATGCCCCTTCTAGTGTCTGTGGCACCTGCACACTTATTAGTACACACACACACACACACACACACACACACACAAATAAAATAAATCCTTGAAAAAATAATTACAAAGGACTGGGAAGATGGCTCAGTCAATAAAATGCTTGAGATGCAAGTATGAAGACTAAATTTAATCCCCCGGCACTCACATGAAAGCCTGGCATGGCAGCACATACCTATAATCTCAGCATTAGGGAGGCTAAGACAGGAGGATCCCTAGGACTTGCTGACCAGTCAAGTCTAGCAAATTGGTGAACTCCAAGTTCACTGAAAGAATATGTCTCAAAACTAAAGTGGAGAGGAATTGAGGAAGACACCAGACATTCACATCCATATCCAAGCAGACACATGTTCACACACACCAACACATTATACGCATACACACACATACCCAATGTTTGAATACTGATCTTGTATCTGGCAACCTTGTTAAACACTTTAATAGGTATAATACTTCTTTTGTGTATGCTGTAGGATTAACTACATACAATAATTTCTTTTTTTTAATTTTTTGAGGTCTTAGCAAGGGTGTGGCAACCCATGTCTTTTTTTAATATTATTTATTTATTTTTATTTTATGTGTATGAGTATATTGCCTGCATGTATGTAAGTGCACCTGTGTCGTGCAATGCCATGGAGGTCAGACGAGGGCTTTGGATTCCCCTGGAACTGGAGTTAAGGATGGTTTGTAGCCACTATGTGGGTGCTGGGAATCGAACCCGGATCCTCTGTAAGAGCAGTCAGTGTTCCTAACCACTGAGCCCTCTCTTCAGCCCCATACAATAATTTATTTGTGGTAGTTCTCTACAGTTGCTACAACCATTGAATTAGTAAATACTTATATAATAGCCCGAGCTCTTCCATTTTGTATAAGACATCTTGGTCCCAGACCCTACCCTGGCCTGGGGCCAGAAGCTCCAGGAAGAGCTGAGGAATACACCCATATAATCTTGGTGTTAGAGTAGCAGATAGCCCCATAAGTTTAACTGGTCAAAACTATAAAATCTCTATAGTCTGTTGAAGGACCCACCTCTCCAGTTTCCAGGACCACCCCCAGGAAGGCAGGTTCACCTTAAGTTAGGCTAAATAGATGGGGGGAATATATCTAGAGCTTTAATGAGATGGTGAATTTTCCTGCCTGGAGTCCCACTTCCTAATGCAGTTTCTCCACTCATAGACATGTCTTTGTAAGTCTTCCCAGTTTTCTGATTTCTTTAGAAAACTGTAATTTCTCCTTTTCTTCTCCATATCCCTTTTCTAAACATACTTTAAGGCTTTGGGCTGCCCCTAGCATCTTGTATTTCTTTACTTTTTCTAAAGCTTCCTTCTCTCAGCCATGTAGCTAGCAGTTAGCCATGTGTCTGAAAGCCATGAAGCCATGCAGGTTTAGAGCCTGCATGGCTTCATGGCTTTCCTTCCTTCTCATCATTCTCCTCCTCAAGGCTGCTGCCAAGATTACCAACTTGCCTGCCCTGAGGATTTTTCTTTAAAATTCTAATAAAATTGTAAAAGCTCCCAGTCAGGGCAGCATTCTCTAAATTGGCTCAGAGAATGCTGTTCCTGACCAGCTAAATAGATTCAGCTGATTTGGAACTTTTTGAGTCCAAATGATCTTTTCCCAGTGATCTTGTACTCTGTAACACTGAACAATTTATCCTGGGAAAAACACATACATACAAACACCTCATAGAAGCATTGGTATGCTGTCAACTTGACAGAATCTAGACTCACCAGGGAGCTGTGCCTCCAGGCATGACTGTGGAAGACTATCTAGAGTGCCTTAATTGATGTGGGAAGACCCACCTTAATCGTGGGCAGGACCAGTCCATGGGCAGGGAATCCTGGACTGTATAAAATGGAGAGTGAGCTGATCACTAGCCTGCATGCATTCACTGTTCTCTGCTTCCTGACCACAGATGAAATGTGACTAGGTCCTTCAAACCTCCTGCTGCCTTGACTTCCCTGCCATGATGTTCTGGACTTTGAACTATGAGCCAAAATAAACCCTTTCTGAAATCGTTTTTGTCAGATTATTTTATCACAGTAAGAAAGTTTCTCATGGTCCTGCATGTGGCATCTAAAGGGGGCTGGGAGGCAGGCTTGGGGACAGAGCTTTCAACCACTGAGAGCCCAAACTACCTCTAGATAGTCCCTCTAATTCAGTCAAGACTGAATTAGTTGACAGACAGCTGGTATCCCCTGCCAAAGTGTTTGCTTGCTGGTAAGGAGAAATCCCTACCTTTTGAGGTCACAGATGTCTTCCACATTGATGACAGAATAAGGGCAGAGCAAAACCCAGACACTTTGCTTTTCCAATACCCAAACTTTTCAATTGTATCTGAAAAATCTATTTTGCTACTATTCATAAAAAATATCTTATATTATATCTTATATTATAGTTGGTTAATATTTATTCTTATCCCATTACTACTGTTGACTATCACCTGTCGATATAGCAAGTATTCCTTTGAAGGAAATTTTCCATTCTACCTGGTAAAAAAGTTATAGCATATTGAATACACACAGACATTTCTGTTGAGTCCGCATCTTCCTCAGGCTGGCATCAAGCTGTCACTCCTCCTACATCCCCTTCCCAAAGGCTGGCATTACAGGTATGCACCACTGCACTGGCCTCTATCATCTTCTACAGTATCATGTTTTCCCACATGTGATTTCTTTTAATGTAGCCTATCAAAAGCTGCTACACTTATCACTCTGATTTGTTGCATCACATCACGTTCTGAGCTGTTCCACTGATAAAACTTTCAGGTGTATCTCTCTTTTCTCCGTCTCTGGACTCTAAGCTTGTTGTTCGGCTTGTACACTTCTAGCCTTCAGCTAGATGTTCGTCCTTTTTTTCACCTTATGCTAAATTTGAATTATACAAAACATGAGCAGGCATAGTAGTACACACCTGAAATCCCAGCACTTGGGAGGCAGTAAGTAGTTCATCCTTCGGTTACATGGCAAGTTCAAGGTCAGCATGATCTACATGAGACCCTATCATGGTAGGAAGGGTACTTTTAAAAATATACATGCGAGTGTGGTGATGTATATATACCTTTAATCCTAGCACTCAGGACACAGAGGCAGGCAGATCATGAGATCCAGGCTAGCCTGGTCTACATAGAGTTCCAGGCCAGCTGGGGCTACAGGCAGACCCTGCATCAAACCATTCTCCCACAGTTGGGAGCAGAGAGAGAGAGAGAGAGAGAGAGAGAGAGAGAGAGATGCAAATATATCTAGCAATTGTCCTTTTTGGAACTTAACGAAATAACTAAAGATGTATAGTTCAGGATTTTCATCAAAGCATTATATTTAGAAAATTGGAAACAAGTGCCTATTAACAGCTTGTGGTATTTCTATACAATGTAAATAAAATATAATCACTTTAAAATGTTTTATAAATTATATGATAAATGAAAAATATATATCTTATTTGCAAATGCAGGTTATAAAAAGTTTGAACTATATGATTTCATAAGCATTAAGATACATACATTGGACACTGCAGAGACGGCTCAGTGGTTAAGAGCACTGGCTGCTCTTGCAGAGGACCGGGGTTTGATTCCAGGCCAGCTGGGGCTACAGGCA